GCTCATTTTCTATTTCAACAAACATATCGAGATTGAAAAGATAAAAGATTTTTATTATTTTTTTTTTTTGATTATTTAAGTACACCATTTAGTAACCGCGCCTGTATATGTTTTTCTGTGTAGTTAATTTCTATTAATTACCACTTTTCGTTTTATGCAGAGACTGTTTTCTTACTTTCATTTTGTTCTCATCCCGTTTTTTGAGTGTCAATTGCTTTTGCATGCGGTAGTGTATTGAGGTGACGAGTCGCATTTTAAGTAAAAAGGGATTGCATTATGGTCAATTTTCGCAAAGCAAATGATCTGTTATCCGCGCTAGACACTCAGTTTAACAGAATAAAGCTGTTAAAGAAGTCGCCTAAATGCAAAAAATCTGCTACTGGTTAGCAGAAACTTTATGAACTAATCAACCCATTACCTGCCACACACCCGCGTCACTGCTCCTGAATTCAATACCAAGTCCAATGGTTCAGAGATCTGGATTCGGAAACCGAAATCGAAAAATTTTAATTTTCGTATGCCAGAGACATTTCTTCATTAAACTTAAATGTCTCTTTCAAACGTTTTGACACTATTTGCTCGGGTGACTCGGGGCCCGAACACGTAGTAGTTAAAGAGTACGTGGTTAAAAACAAGAAAGGAAGCTAACTTCGGCACACCGAAGTTTATATACCCTTGCAGATAGAACTTCTATGAATTGGAATCTATACAATATAAATTATATATATTTGTGTTAAAAACAATGAAGTAATACCTGCTTTCATTTCATTCCCCTATACATATTATATTTGCAGTTTTACATTCACAGATTTGCATTTTTCCTCTATATCAAACGATCGGTTGTATGGCACCTATATGATATAGTCGTCCGATTTTCATGAAATTTGACACAAAATTTAAGAATAATATAAAATGGCCATAGCTCAAATTTGATGAAAATCTGTTCAAAACTGAAAAAGTTATAAATTTAATTGTATTAATTTCTCGATCGTTCCTATGGGGAGCTATATGATATAGTCGTCCGATTTTCATAAAATTTAACACAAAATTGTAGAATAATATGAAATGGCTATATCTCAAATTTGATCAAATTCTGTTGAAAACTAAAAATGTTATAATTTTTTTTGTAAAAATTTTCCGATCATTCCTATGGCAGCTATATGATATAGTCGTCCGATCCGGCCCGTTCCGACATATATACGAGTGAGAGTATATAGAAGGCTAACTACAAAGTTTCATTCAGATAGCTTCAAAACTGAGAGACTAGTTTGCGTAGAAACGGACAGACGGACAGAAGGACAGACGGACAGACGGACAGACGGACATGGCTAGATCGACTCGGCTGTTGATCCTGATCAAGAATATATATACTTTATATAGTCGGAGGTGCCCCCTTCACTGCGTTGCAAACTTCTGACTGAAATTATAATACCCTGCAAGGGTATAAAAAAGAAAGCAACGCCTGTGGGAGTGCCGGGAGGGAATTCGATTCTCCTTATGTAACTTACACTCTTTTAGTTAGTTAGTTTCTTTCGCCTTTTATTGAAGTATGTTTTTTGTTTCTGGAGTTTTCAATTCGGAGTAGGGATCGCATTGAATCTGTCCAAAAGATCTTTTGTCAGCTCAATTTCCACGTTTCCCGACTAACATCTATAATATATTCCCTTACAGAAACACTCCCTTACAGGAATCCAGGGTTTTATGATCCGATTAGAATTGCGTCTTTAATAATAAAGAAGGCATTGAGGGCCTTCCAGAACTAAAACTGGCTTTGCTTGTAGAATTAGCTCGTATCAAATCCTAAATTTTCTTCCTTCTTTTTTTATTTTTTCTTCTCACGCGTCGTATGGGCTGGAGGGGGCGTGAGACTCGCCCGATTATTGTTGCCACGGCCTCTGAAGTTTCCTCTGTATTGGTCTCATCCACCATAGTTATGGGTGTTGTAGTTATTATTATAATTTTGAGAGTTACCTCTATAATTGCCACGTCCGCGGTTTCCCCCGCGCCGTAGATAATTTTCTTAAAATAAGACAATGTTTGACAGTCCAGCTGCATCGGTGCAACTATTTACATATTTGGAAATAGCATCATTCATTGTATTGAAGGCACCAGCTTCCATAGTAAGTTTTACCTTATCGATTGAGCATTTTTTAGTCATTGCTTTGAGTGCATACTGAGCTGAATAAGTTCTGGCTAACTCTGGTGTTAAACAATCCGTTATGTATACACCTTCCAAAACATTTGTCATCTGCTCTAGATTAGTAGACGTGCTTCATCGAAGATTTTTACTAATGTTTTAGCATGTTAGTGAATTGTCGTTTTTTGTATTTGTCTTTCCTAAATAGATAATTTTTTATAATAATCCTCCTAGATGCGTAATTTTTGAGTCGTCAAAATGATTAAACAAGAAAGGAAGTTAACTTCGGCACGCCGATGTTTAAATACCCTTGCAGATTGGAACTTAATTACAAGGAATTAATGCAATATTAATTGTATACATTTACGTTAAAAAACAATTAGATAAAGACTGCTCTCATTTCATTCACATATAGAATTTATTTTTACAGGTTTAGTTTAGTCGTCCGATTTTCATAAAATTACAGCAAAAGCCTACATTTTCATTTATATGAAAATCAGTTGAAAACTGAAAATGTAATAATTTTTATTTTTATTAATTGGGCCCTCTCGTCATTTTCGTCCAATAGCCCTTAACGCCTGTAAGACGAACATTGATCCTTTCCGTGTTCTATGTTCCATGTACAATAAGTATTATTTTCTGTTACATGTTGAATTATCCATCGAGTTTAATGTTCAAAATTTGTTAATTTACCTATCCTTACCTTTGCCCACCTGATGTGAGTCGGAGCATATCGTTAAAAATCACTCATTTTTGTTGTGCAGAGGTAAGGGTACAATATAATTTAAGAATGGCAGTCATTGCTATTTACTTTATAAATAAATAAATAAATAAATAAATAAATAAATAAATAAATAAATAAATAAATAAATAATAAATAAATAAATAAATAAATAATTTCATGATCGTTCCTATAGCAGCGATGTGAACAGCAGTTCGATTAAAAAAAAATTCTATAATATAAAATGGATATATCTAAAATTTTATAAAAATCTGTTTACTACTGGAAAAGTTTAAATTTTTTTCCAAGAATTTTCCGATCGTTCCTATGGCAGCTTTATGATATAGTCGTCCGATCCGGTCCGTTCCGAAATACGACATATACGAGTGAGAGTATATAGAAAATTAACTACAAATTTTCATTCAGATAGCCTCAAAACTGAGAGACTAGTTTGCGTAGAAACGGACAGACGGACATAACTAGATCGACTCGGCTGTTGATGCTGATTAAGTATATATGTATACTTTATATGGTCGGAGGTGCCTCCTTCACTGCGTTGCAAACTTCTGAATGAAATTATTATACCCTGCAAGAGTATAAATATGGCAATGGTAGCAATTGTCCCGACGTGTCTCGAAAAAAATTTAATTGCGGTGGCCATCATAACTCGTTGCCGGATCATCGGAAATGAAAAAATCCAAATGTATTCGTACATATATAATTTCGCGGGTAACGCTCTCGAGTTTTTCTTTAAATTCCAATTTTTGAAGTGAAAACATACTTTTTGGTGAAGAAAATCGGCTAATTTGTCATTGTAAAATGAAAATTATGAACAATAAAACACTCGACAGCGTTACCTCTCAAAATATGTACGGAAATATTGTTTAAAATTGCAAAAGGATCGGTGCAGTAGTTTTGAAGTTATGATGGGCACCGACTTTAAAAACGTGATTTGTGGGAAAAACGTTTTAAAGTCTTAAACTCAAAAAATTGAGTGTAAAACGAAAATCCGGCAGGTATACAAATACTCAATTTTGCTTTAATTGACTTGAAATTTAAAAAAAAAATATATATATATATATATCACCGCCCCCCGCTGCGTTGTTTTCGGTTAATTATCTTTCTTATGTCAGCATTGCAATGCAATGAAGTTTCAATTGGAATCCGAAGGTAAAATTTCCCGTTTTGATGCATCCGCCAGAGCCATTGTATTCACTTCTCTATGGGAATATAACTTATTCAAACCATTTTTTGGCATATGGACAACAATATAATGTATCCTTTTAAATGATGTCATTTGCTGTTAACTAACTATTCGTGCGTTCTTTGACGGTTGCTATAAGCCCCGATTCATGCGTCACGATCGCCTCGCAACGGCAAAATCATCAAACCAAGCAATATAAAAATATTCTAAGGATTTGCAAGCTTCTTTCACTCTCAGACGAGTTATGATTGTATGTGATATATCGCTAACGCTTTTCAAGTTGCCTACAGTTGCATTATCAACCCCAAATTAGTAATTTAACATTTGAGAAATTCTAGATTTATTATAATAAGAACTTAAATGTAACTAAAAAAAAGGAACAAAAATATTTTTTTACCGAAGTCATAAATATAATATAAGTTTTACATGACCGATTCTACTTGCTTCCGCTCAAGACATTCTTTTTTTATTATACCCTTCCAGGGTATTACAATTATAGTCAGAAGTTTGCAAGGCAGTGGAAGGGACATTTCCGACCTTATAGGGTATATACGATCGTATATATTTTATCAGCACGACGAAGTATCTTTCGAATTACTTAAAGAAATTGTGTTAAATTGGTAGGTAGAAAGGTAGAACTTTTCCGGTTCTACGTCTGTCCGTTCATGCGAAACAAAAGACTTCACAGACTATAAATGCTTGTGCTACGAAATTGGAAAATAACATTCACATCTGCTACACGGAGACCAAGTTTGTTCACAAAATCATAAAAACTAAGCAGTAAAAGTATAACATTATAAAACATGTAATATTTAAACCGGTGCGGTCATTTGAGTAAAATTGGTAAACAAACATTGATGATAACAATGTTGCTGATCGACCAGAAATGTATTTAGTATCTACATATTCGAAATTTACATAATTCAAATTTTTATTACCTGCTTCCTGGAGTTTCCTGCTGTTAAGTGAGAAAGAGCCAAATTATTATTAGATATAAAATGTGCTCTAACATCAATAAAAAGTTGAGAAGCTCTTTTATTTAAAACTCGTTCTTCAAATTGTTCATCTGTTTCATTTTCCATTTGTTCGTCACTATGATTCTGTAAATAAAAATCAATACATAATCAACGTTATGGTAAGACCTGAAGTAATTATTCCTTTTTTTATGCTGGTACATCCAATACTACAAAACTACCCTTATACCACTAAGCAAGAAATACATAGAGCAGTTAAACAGTACCAAAAAGTACTATTACAAAAACGGCTGAGCCTGGAACCCCAGAGCACCCGAACGATATGTCTAGAACCCCAGAGTGCGTTCGGCTTTTTCGAGTTCGAAGCATTTGTTCGAAACCGAGCACAACAAGAATTCACTTTTCAGTGGCAGATCGACCGTGGAACGATGAGCAGGGGTGCGTTTCTTTGCGCTGTGCTCTCGTTTCTGTGTATTTGTGTATATGTGTACAAGCGCTCGCACGTTTGTATGCGTGTTCAAATTTCTGCATGCAGAGTCTTTTTCAAAGATTTTGGACGGCCACAGCCAGTGCGCCGCGGCGGCGGCTCACTTGCTCATGACGTCACAGCAATACTTAGCGGCTAGAGCTTGCATTGGGGGACAAATTATTTAAATTATTTCACTATAATTACTACTTATTTTAATTTAAGTTTTGTTTTTCCTGACAATATATTTCCCAAAAGTAATTTTGTTGATGAATCATCGAATAAAGCGCCGTAGTTTACTAAAGAGTTGAGCCGACTTAAAAATAAAAAATCTAGACTGTATGCTAAATTTAAAATCACCGGTTCTCAATCTGCCCTTTCATCTTATTTATCAGGTCGGTCAAACTTTACCGTGCTGGACGCGCAGTGTTATAAAAATTATTTAACTCGTTGTAGGGCCCAGTTCTCACAGGACCCAAAACAGTTTTATAATTTCGTTAACACTAAACGTAAGCCTAAAACAAATCCTTCCTCGCTTTCATTTGAAAATACTACCGCAAATAATGATCAGGCAATAGCCGATCTATTTTCCCATTTTTTTCAAACAACCTATTCTAGCTCTTCGTATCTACACCACACCTATTCCTACGACATACCCAAATCAAACTTAATTTTCTGTCCTAGCCTAAACGAAAGCTCTCTCCTTTTAGAACTTCATCGTGTCAAGCCAGTTTATTCGCCAGGTCCCGACGGAATTCCTGGCTGTGTGCTCAGGTATTGTGCCGACGCCCTGTGCTATCCCCTTCTGAAATTGTTTACCTTGTCCTTGGAAACCTCCCACTTTCCCAATATTTGGAAGGAATCGTTTATTATTCCTCTCCACAAAAAAGGTAGCAAATTGGATGCCAGCAATTATAGAGGAATCTCTAAATTGTCGGCCATCCCTAAATTATTTGAAAACATTATCACCCCTCACTTACAGCACCTTTGTAGATCGGTTATTTCTCCATGTCAACATGGTTTTATTAAGCGAAGATCAACAACAACAAATCTTTTGGAGCTCTCTTCCTACAATATTTTTCAGACAGATGTAATCTATACTGATTTCAGTAAAGCATTTAACTCTGTTTACAATTCTCTCCTCGTAAGAAAACTCGATTTAATGGATTTTCAAAGTAATCTTAAATGGATCTCAAGTTATCTGAATGTTAAAATTGGGGTTAAGGGTCTGGCGTCCCGCAAGGAAGCCATTTGGGACCCTTATTGTTTACATTATTTATAAATGACCTCCCCAAAGCCTTGACTAACTCCAGAGTACTTATGTACGCGGATGACGTCAAGCTTTGCGTGCAATACAATGACGTTGCCTGCCAGTCGGATTTACAAAAAGATCTTAATAATTTTCAAACTTGGTGCCGTGTAAACTTATTAAACTTAAATGGCTCGAAATGCAAGCTAATGATATTCTCTTGTGTCGTTCCTAAGCTTGCTACTTACACGCTGAACTGCTGCTCTTTGGAAAGAATTAATTCAGTTGATGATTTGGGCGTCTGCTTGGACCCAAAACTTGACTTTATTGATTATATTTCGTCTATGGTGAATAGAGCCAGGGGTTGCTTGGATTTATTAAACGGTGGTCGAAGGAATTCAATGACCCCTATGTCACTAAATCGATATACCTATTTAGTTCATCTTATCTTAGAATATGAATGCTGCGTTTGGAGCCCTCAGTACGGCGTCCATTGTAAACGCATCGAGTCGGTTCAAAAGAACTTTTTACTTTTCGCTCTACGCGGTTTAAATTGGGATGCAAACCAAAGATTACCATCCTATTCAATAAACTTCTCTTAATAAACTGACCGTCCTTAGCCAATCGTAGAACGATGCTAGGAATAACCTTTATTTACAACCTTATCCATGGTGATGTCGAAAGTGCTGACTTGTTGAATATATACTTATATACCTTATATACCACTAGTGTTGCGCCACTGTAGAACCTCCTTCGAACTGCATGAACCTTTTAGAGTGCTATGTGCAAATTATAATGATTTGTATATACTAATCTCTAACGTAGATACCCTTCCCAAATTAAAATCTATAATACTAACACACTTAGTAAGCATGCAAGCTAACAACCTGGCAGCACGCCGGTAGTCAATTTCCACGTATTCTGTCCTATATTTTCCATTACGCATACTAACACCTAACCCAAAGAGGCACGTGCCTGGTGTCATGCGGGCCACTTGAGTGTACTGACCGTAATGCATCAACGTCCGTATCAACATTATAATAATTTAAGTGAAGTTTTTTGTGTTAATGCTGTTTATGCGTTGTTAAGCTGAGCAACCTGAGCCATCTAACCATATAAGAGAAGTCAAACGAGTGTCTCAATCACCAAGCGACATTTAGCGTGGAAAATCGTTGTGAATTACAGTTGTTTAACAACAAGACTGAAACGCTATGTGACATCGCTTAATCAAGGTTCGAGCTGTTGTGGGTAACAACGCATCAACGATAAATGTTGATCTTAAAGCTGAATGCAACGGAATACCTTCCACAGTGCACCTTGACAGAACGTACTTATTATCACTTACCCCAGGCTGCACTGCAAAAATCAGCGTAAGCACATTCAGCACTATGATCAGCGAAACGAAGGCTACATACGTTCGTTTTAGCCAGTCTTAGCCAGGTTAAGAAAATACAGCCAAGGTATTAAGCCTTGACGAACTAGACGTTTTACAACATCAGCTGGCCAAACTAAAGAATGAAACATTTAAAAATCAAATCAGCACTCCGCAGCATCATCAAATAGCTGCCTATTTGGCCCTAGCATTCTCAATATTATTGATCATCGCATGAGGTCGAAAACGGAAGCCCAGCAAATGGACACCACTACGCCGGACATTCAAACCCAGGCATACCGCTAAACAATCAACACAATCTCGTTCGACATTAGTTTAACAGTCGGAAGAATGTTAAGTCGCGACAATATTTATAGGCAACAGTTTTTATACACAATAATGTGTTATGTTATAACTCTTCAGTCACAGATATATAAATTTGTCATACAAATAAAGTATCAATTACCAGGTCCAGCGCATATGCATATTCTGCTGACATCAGGAAGTGGAGTGTGGCAATGGTCTCAGTTCCGCATATTCAGACACCGTAGCCCGCATAACATAACATAAGCATTTTTGTCAAACCATTTCGTTTGCTATAATTACCCTTGAGTCTCATTAATAAAATCAGTAAGTGTTTCCGCCGCAAACAGACGCTTTACTCATTCAGAGGCTGTCGCTGAGTCTTCAGATTCTCAACCCTTACTATCAGTCCACGTAGTTCAAGTGATAGTTGCAATTACAAACATTATGCACTATTTTAGAGGTATAAAATCCTCCTCATAAAAACTTTCTTACAAGTTTAATAAAAAAAATATATATAAACTTCGTGCTGCCAAGGAATACAATAAATTCAAAGCAATAGAAAGCCGCAGTGTTTCAAAATGTGAAACAAATTTTTTGTAAAATTTAAAAAAACAACAAAACAATAAGTCAACTAAAGAGAGTGAAAAAAGTATGTAAGCTTCAGTCGACCGAATGCAAGATACCAGGTACTCGAAGTAATAGAGGTGAAATTAAAAGACAAATGTAACTTTTTTTAAATAATCAAGCAACATTTTTGATACTGCGGAATCTATGGAGAATTAAAATTAAATTAGTTTAGTACTTAAACTTATATGTGTAGACATAACAAAACCGAATAGTCATAAATTGGTCCGAAATCGTCCTTTTTAGGAAACTAGACTTAATGGACTGAAAGTTATAATTTTTAAACGTACTAATTTTGATTTTAATGAATTAATTTGATCAGGACAACAGCCGAGTCAACATAGTCATGTTCGTCTGTCAGTCCGTCTATCCGTCTGTCCGTCCGTCCGTCCGTTTGTCCGTTTCTACGCAAACTTGTTTCTCAGTTTTAAAGATATATTAATGCAACTTTGCTGTTACTCTTCTTCATACTCTCACTCGTATATATATCGGAACGGGTCGGATCGGACGAGTATACCGTATAGCTGCCATACAAACGATCGGATAGTTGTTACAAAAAAAATTATTACTTTTTCAGTTCTCAACAGAATTTTATAAAATTTAGGATATCTCCATAAAGCAAAATTCCAGAATTTTATGAAAATCGGTCTACTATATCATATAGCTGTCATACAAATGATCGCTAGATATAGAGGAAAATCAAAACTGTAAATTTAAATTTATGTTTGGAGATGACACCTTTACTACGTTGCAAACTTTTTACTAGAATTATAACACCCTGCAAGAGTATAAAAAAAACTTAAGTTTGGTGGGGTTCACAAAACGATTAAGTTAATAATTAACAGTTATATAAAACATACTTGAACAACAGTTGAAATTTCGTAATTGTTCCATCCCTTTGAAATGTTGTTGTCATCCAATCTAGGCCTCGAATCAGTTTCTTTCAAAATTAAACTAATTTGATCTGTGGGTATCTGTGGGATGTTGTCTATTTCTTCAATACTTGTATGCTGAGGAGTTGTTTGGCCGTGATCCAATTCAGCTGGCGTTGAGTCTCCATGATTGAAATCATCCCCGATGTCATGATTGGTATTTCGCGGCGTTAAGGGCAGTTCATTTATTGATGAAAATTGTTCAATGTCATTAAAAGATAACAGCTCTGGACTCCGCATGTTATCAAATAGAGTTGATTCATTTTGAGCAACAAGAGTTTCTTGGTGTTTTGGTACAATGTTTAATGATGCTACAGATAATCCCATTGATTTTTGGTCTTCTCTGAAAACGTCGGGAGCATCAAGGCTTTGCATAAGCGAATCTGTCCCAAGATCCCTTAAATGATGTGAAGAAAGTTCACACTTTCGCTTGCGCCCTTTTTTAGTTAAGATAATAAATGAATTTTCCTTATCTTGCGAATAATATTCCAATGCAAGAATATCCGCTGGGGCAACCATTGAAAAATCTTCAAAGAATGTTGAATGGGATAATAACTGTCGGTTATAATTATTAAATAATGATCGTGCTGGTATCGATCTAGATGGCAACGAGAACAGTTTTTCTACCCCTCCAGTTTCTTTCCAATACATGAGCCTAGAACAAAAAATTGCATTTAATGATTTATGACTAAAACCAATTAAAAAGATTACCTTTTTGTTGGTGGTGCAAGATCTAAAGTAGTTAATATGTCTGAAGTATCGGCTAATTGAGCCTTCATTTCTTCTCCAGAAATATTTTTTATTTCATCAATAATAAGTTTCCTTTTGCGTTTTGCTTTTGTTATGCCTTTATACACACTTGCATCAATTGGAGCTAAAGCGAATCCCTCATCTTCATTTTGTACAAGAGTTATTTCATTTAGTTTTACATTTCCAGACACATCGGCTTGTTCATTTATTGATTCTTAAAAAAAAGTAATTTTTAATTTTCATACATTTATAATAATTTTAATTTAATAATTACCTCTCTTCTCGTCATTGATTGAGTTTATGCACGATGTTGCTGGCGACGGAAGAGCGTTCAAATTCTCAATAGCATCATTGTCGGAATCATCTTCCATGTTATCTACTTTAGCTTCCTTGTCATTCTGCTGAGCTGGTTGAGACGGTTCACCAAAGAGATCATCTTCGAAAAGTTCTGGTTCTAATAAATAAAATATTATATAAATAAATAGTAGAAAGGAGGCTAAGTCCGGCATGATTGCAGAATACAGTGCGATCCTTAAAAGACTTTTCATATCGAATATATATATGTAAATACTTTTTATCCCGTTCGACAGAAAAGCGGGAAATCCATCACTGATATATAGCATTTAATACAAACTAATCAAGTAGTTGTTTCCTAACATTTTAATTGGAAACAATAAAATAAATAAAGTGTAGGCATTTCTCTTTAATGTGGTAAGTTGAAATGTGTTAATTATGTGGATCGTGCATTTGAGGTTATAGTCTAAAAGGACGACGTGCGAACGAACATCATCATCAACAAGTGTATTCACAGAACTTAAGCGAAGAAAGACAAAACATAATAAGAAAAAATGCCCCATTGAGACAACACGTGAGGACACGAGGATCATCGGCATCGTACAATAGTTTGGCAATCCAATATGATCCCACTGGGAACGACAGTGATGATGAAAATTTAGATATTGGACCAATGACGGCTATATGCCGATATTGCGCAAATGGAAAAGTTAAACTGGATCCATTACCTCTCAAATATAAAATAATACAAAAAAAAATTCTTCAATTTTAATTACCAAACGTAATGTTACATAAAACGAAGCCATCTGGTGGCCAAACGGAGTTCGCCAGGTTTCCTAGTACAAAATAAATTACTAATAAAACTCTCCTATACATGGCCGTCAGCCGATAGGGTGCACAGGGGGATAAACGGATGACTGCGTCATCTGCAGTAACTGTGTACACCATCGGTAGTGCGACTATACTCTCCAAGCGAGGGCGGCTGGAAGCAGGTCCCCAGTCGAGGCTCGACCAATTGTAGTCGGGCGGACTTAGGCAGTCTTTAATCAGCCTCCCCTCAAGTCAGGTGTGTGATGCGACCCGTGCACACTGACTTCCAGGTTCGCAGCTAAGGGGTAAAGCCAGGTGTGTCTGCACGGAGCCTTCCCAGGGCCAGGCAATCCTGGGTCGTAAGTGGCCTTGCCGCAGTTTTGGGGCGAAGCTGCGGTCGACCTATCTTCAAAGCCCCAAACCCCCTCTGGCCCGCTGCGCTTGCCAGGTCGAGCAAAGCGGGCGTTTATGTATTGAAATGACCTCTACAAACCGAGCTTCGGAACTCCCGGGAGAGGATAAACCCCAAAAACTGTCAACGAAGGACGAGAAGGAGATGCAGAGGCCGAGACTGGTCGCTGCTTCTCACATTGTATCGGAGACCGACGAAGAAGAGTCGCAATCCGAGGGGAGGGCGAGTAGCACTCCCCAACCGAAACACACAGGTGGGGCTCAGCTGAGCACCACCTCAGAGATAGCGAAAATGTCTCACCATCAGAGACGAGCGAGGGTCAACAGAGCCCGCTTCGTTCTCGGCAAGATAGCCAAGAATGAGGCTGGGGGCAAAACTGACACTCGGGATGCCGAGGACAAGTCCAAATTTCTTGCGGAGAGCGCGGAATATGAGCAGTAAAAAGCGGCAAATCCGGCGGCGTTCCAGCCCTCGAAGGCAAAGCGAATTCGCTCACAGGAAGTGAGCGAAAGCGCACCTAAGAGAGCGAAGGACCCACAGGGTAAGCCGCGTGCGACTAACTTTGTCAGCCAGGCAAAGAAGTTTAGCGAGGTGGCCAGAGACAGTCTGGCTATGGCACTGGTGGACGAGCTCCATGACGACGGTCGCCTGCTGTCGGAGAAGTGGGAGGAGATCGAGGCCAAGGTCACCAAGGTGACCGACAGGTTGGTCAGCATGCCGACCGGCCCCATCCCCTCCTTCGACTCCTCAGACGTGGTCAGAGGGCACCGGGTCATCAGGTGCGACGACGGGTTCTCCGAAACTTCCTGGCGGAGTGTGTGGCTAAGATTAGCGACACATGGGCTGGCCTTAAGATTAGGCTAGTCCACGCCAAGGAGATCCCAAGGAGACCCCGAGCTCGCATCTGGTTACCTAAGGGCCAAACTGACCATGCAAGAGTGATTGCCTGCCTGAAGGCCCAGAACCCAGATATACATACAGAGGACTGGACCATCCTCAGGGCAGAGCAGGAAATGAAGGCGAGCCAGCCTTTCCTCCTGCTGATTAACCAGCACTGTCTGCCCCAGCTGGAGGCAAACGACCACAAGGTCCGGTACGGCATCAGGAAGGCCAAGATTAAGGTCTTCTTGGCCGAGCCGGACGAGATTCTGGAGGAGGTCGATGACACTAAGAAATTGTTGGACGACATGGTCATCGACGACAAATCTCCTGACGCCACCCCCACCAACATCGATGTCGAGAATCGTGCAGATTAACCTGAAGCGCAGCTCGCACGCTTCAGCTAATCTCACGATTCTTCTAAGGGAGAGGGATATCGACATCGGTCTGATACAGGAGCCTTGGACCAGGGACGGGCAAGTCGCTGGACTGAGAATCCAAGGATACACACTACTGTGCACAAACTCGAATGGTAGGTCGACAGCTTGCATTGTAATCAAGAATCATTTTAACGCTTTTCTCTGTCCCAATCTCAGCACACCTGACCTAGCAGTGGCCAGATTCGTGGCGGCGGATGGGAGCGGAGTCACCATATCATCTGCGTACATGGCCCATGACGAGCCTGCAATGGGCGGAAGCGACGAAGACGAACCTGGTGCTCGGGTGTGATGCGAACGCGAGGCACTCGCTCTGGGGTAGTTCGTAGACTAACGAAAGAGGTGAGTCACTCTTTGACAATATTATATGTAGGAACGTAACGATATGCAATAAGGGTAACACCCCGACCTTTATCTTTCGAGCACGGAAAATTTTCAAAGTTAGATAGAGGTGTTAGACCTCACATTACAAATAGAGCAGAACAATTACAGGGTCGAGAACTGGAGGGTATCGACAGAACACTCCTTCTCAGACCATAGGTACATTTTCTTTGAAATAACGACACCAGTTAAGAAACAGGTGCCTAGGAGAAACCCCCGTAAGACGTATTGGAACAATTTCAGCAAAATTGTCCGATCTAAAGTAAACGGCAGGATGATCAAGACTATATCCACTGCAAAGGCAATCGACAAGGAGGTTGAGCACCTAACTAATATTCTGAACAAAGCCTTCAAAGAGACTTGTAAGCTAACATTCTCGAAGAAGCAATACCCACCGTGGTGGACAAAGGAATTAAGCGAGCTAAGGAAGAGCGCGAGAAAGTCCTTTAACCACAGCTATGTAACCCGGGATTGGGGAACATACAAGGAGGCACAAAAAAATTACAAGAAGGCAGTATACAAGGCCAAGAAAGAGTCCTGGCAAAACTACTGCGAGTCACTGGAAAGCATAAAGGACACGGCGAGAGTAAGCAAAATTCTCGCCAAAGGGCACATAAGCCCTACCCTGATCAACAGGGCAGACGGCTCTGCTACGACGACAATTGAGGAGTCACTAGAGCTACTAGTTGACACCGACTTCCCAGGAAGCCTAAGAGTGAGCTCGGAACCCGAGGAGGGAACGAGCTCTCAAATGGATACACCTACGAAAGACATCATTACCACTGAGCGAATTCAGTGGGCAATAGATTCTTTCGATAAGTATAAAAGCCCGGGCCCAGATGGCTTAATACCGGCAATGCTACAATCAGCTAAGGATAGTATTTGCAAATGGCTAAAAGCCATCTACGAAGCTTGTTTAAGACTGACGCACGTCCCACTGCTGTGAGGGAGAGAGAGAGGCTAAAGTCATTTTTATACCGAAACCGGGCAGAAGGGGGCACATCCTAGCAAAGCATTATAGACCGATAAGTCTCACCTCCTTCACCCTGAAGACACTAGAGAGACTCCTGAACGTCCACATACTAGAGTCTCTAGAAGGACATCAACTCTCGGATGCACAGCATGCGTATCGCAGGGGAAAATCAACGGAAACAGCGCTACACGTAGTTGTACATCATGTCGAGAAGACATTACAACACAAACAATACACGATGGCAGCCTTCCTAGACATCGAAGGCGCGTTCAAAAACGTGAACCCCGACTCTATCCTGGGCTCCCTCAACTTGCTAGGTATTGAGAGAGGCATCAGAGAGTGGATCGGGGTCATGATAAAGAGCAGGACGATCACAGCCGAACTGAGTGGCACCCACCTCACGCGGACTGTGAGAGAGGCACACCTCAGGGCAGGGTACTATCGCCCCTACTCTGGCTCACAAATATGAACGCCATATTGACAGATCTCAATACGGGTGGAGTCAAAGCAGTTGCATACGCGGACGACGTAGTACTGCTAGTATCAGGACCATACCCTGACGTTATTAGAGAAATAATGACGGGTGCGCTAGGTCGTTTAAACAAATGGGCAGAAACCTGCGGACTAGGTATCAATCCCACTAAGACAGAACTTATGCTCTTCACACGTAGAACAAAGATTCCAACCTTCAACATGCCCAGTATAAACGGCATGGAGTTAAAACTAGCGGAGCAAGCGAGTACCTAGGAGTAATTCTGGATAAAAAGCTCTCATGGAAAGAAAACATTGCAGAAAGAGTAAGGAAAGCAAGCATTGCCTTCTACTCCTGCATAAAAATGTTTGTGAACAATTGGGGACTGCACCCAAAGATAATTTTATGGCTCTACTCAGCAGTGGTACGGCCGATACTAACTTACGGAGCCCAAGTTTGGTGGAACAGAACGAAGCTGACACCGATGCAACGGGCAGCGAGTGCGGGGGCAGTGGGTGCAATGCGCTCATGCCCCGCGGCTGCTCTCAACGCTATCCTAGATATAATGCCGATAGAGATGTTCGTGAAGGACATTGCAGCACAGAGCGCAGTAAGACTGAAGGCAAGCAATTGCTGGAGGGATTACGGAGCCGGGCACGGCATGATTTTTGGAAGCAGCGGCATTAACACAGACGTTAAGACCGACCGTGAAAACGAACTCACGACTAGTGGCGGAATGCAAGAAGGCCCTTAATAGACTTACTGACAAAAATAAGGTACTAGTAACATGGGTACC